ACTCATTAAATTTTCAAAGTGTTTTTATAGTTTCAATGGATTTTTGTTCAGTACAAAATAACTACTATTTATAATGACACAATACCACACAAAATGAAAATGAATAAAATTCAACAAAAAAAACAAGTAAGAAATTATAGTCGGGCGAGGCCGACTATATAATACCCTACACCTTTGACAAAAATATAATGTGATTTAGTTGCCATAATAAAGCATTTAAGTTGAATTGTACCTTGCCTTAGATATACATACTTAAGCCGTTTATTGTTGAATAAAATTGTGGACATTTAAGTGAAATTTTGATGGGGGCTTTTCATAGGGGCTAGGGTCATATGAGAACCTATTATTATGGAATTCGTGGGGGTCATCACGTCTTGTATACAACTTGGTTATTGCAGCTTTTTGTCGAGATATGAGTATATTAAACAAAAATATGAACTTAAAAGCCCTATTCGGCGGGTTCAGTTGTATGGGGGCAAGGTGAAATAATGGACCGATGTAAACCATTTTCAACAGACTTCATCTACGGTACCATAAAAGATCATGTGCCAAATTTCATTGAATTATCTCCAAAATTGCGACCTGTAGTTTGATTACAACTTTTAAAAGCCCTACTCGAGGGTTCAGTTGTATGGGGGCTAGGTGAAATAATGGACCGATGGTAACCATTTTCAATAGGCTTCGTCTACGGTACCATAAAAGATCATGTGCAAAATTTCATTGAATTATCTCCAAAATTGTGACCTGTAGTTTGATTACAACTTTTAAAAGCCCTATTCGGGGGTTTCAGTTGTATGGGGGCTAGGTGAAATAATGGACCGATGGTAACCATTTTCAATAGGCTTCGTCTACGGTACCATAAAAGATCATGTGCCAAATTTCATTGAATTATCTCCAAAATTGCGACCTGTAGTTTGATTACAAGTTTTAAAAGCCCTATTCGGGGGTTCCAGTTGTATGGGGGCTAGGTGAAATAATGGACCGATGGTAACCATTTTCAATAGGCTTCGTCTGCGATACCATAAAAACTCATGTGCCAAATTTTATTGAATTATCTCCAAAATTGCGACCTGTAGTTTGATTACAAGGATTACAAGCCCTTTTGGGGGGTTCAGTTGTATGGGGGCTAGGTGAAATAATGGACCGATCTTAACCATTTTCAATAGGCTTCGTCCCTTGGACAATAGAAGATCATGTACCAAATTTCATTGAATTATCTTCAAAATTGCGACCTGTAGTTTGATTACAAGGTTTACACGGACGGACAGACGGACGGACAGACGGACGGACAGACGGACGGACAGACGGACGGACAGACGGACGGACATAGCTAAATCGACTCAGAAAATGATTCTGAGCCGATTGGTATACTTTAAGGTGGGTATAGGACCAATATTATTGTGCGTTACAAACATCAGCACAAACCCAATATACCCTCCCCACTAAAGTGGTGTAGGGTATAAAAACACAGAATGAAATAATGGCAAAGACAATAAATCCAAAATAGTCGTAATACACATTGCCATGAGAAGCACATGCATATAACACAGACCAAAAACCAGAGGCACCCCCCAAACTAAAAACAATTTAAACATGCAACTAAACGTTGCAATGTATTCAACCAACCAACCAAACAACCCTTAATTCAATAATTCAACAAAAATAACGTCATCAATCGTTTGTAAAGTGCAATGAATTGTTTCGATTCAAATTACACACACACATACCACACACTTACATATTTCGAAACAGGATATAAACACCAGAGTGTTAGTAGGGTGTTCTAAGCCCCATAAAGTGTTCACTAATTTGGTTGAACGTGCGTTTGATTAAGAGTGAGGAAGGGAGTTTTAACTGGCTTTTAGTCTTTAGTTTATTTTTAATAAAAATGAAAAAGTCCATTGTTTGGGAACTAAAATTTTGTACTAAAATAAATAAATGTTGACAGTCCTCTATGTAATTTAGAAAATAGGGTAAAATTTAAAAAAACAAATAAATATAATATTTATAAAATATGTGTGTATTTTTAGTTAACAATAGATAAAGTTATAAAAATAAATAATTGATTTTAGTGTAAGAAAAACAAATTGACCGTAAAAGGTCAATTGGAATTCGTTCTATTAGGGAAATATTATTTTATAAATTTTATAGATAACTACTTAATTTTTCTATAACATCAAGCCTCAATCTTATTACTTAACTACAGTTTAAACTACAGCTTGTTAAAGTTAAACTTTAAAATTTGATTTTATACTCTTAACTATTTTTAGTTTATTTATTCATAACTTTGGTTTTAGTAAAAAAAATTTCTAAAAATATTTTCAGAACAACAATATTTTCAGTGAACTCTTAAGGCAAGCTTAATTCAATTACCTTCATTTTGAAAATTTTGACAAATTTTCAAAGTTCATACATGAAAGTGTTATAATTTTGTTAAAACCTTCTTTAATGTTTCAACATTGTTGAATCAACAACAATGAAACTTTTAATAGATTTTTTTCAGTCTCTAAACGAGAGATCCTAGAGATCCCCTCCAAAATATTTAGAATCTCAGAATTTTTAGCTGTTCTAGTTCAGTTTTAGTTCTGTTCTAGTCTGTTCTAGTTCTGTTCTAGTTCTGTTCTAGTTCTGTTCTAGTTCTGTTCTAGTTCTGTTCTAGTTCTGTTCTAGTTCTGTTCTAGTTCTGTTCTAGTTCTGTTCTAGTTCTGTTCTAGTTCTGTTCTAGTTCTGTTCTAGTTCTGTTCTAGTTCTGTTCTAGTTCTGTTCTAGTTCTGTTCTAGTTCTGTTCTAGTTCTGTTCTAGTTCTGTTCTAGTTCTGTTCTAGTTCTGTTCTAGTTCTGTTCTAGTTCTGTTCTAGTTCTGTTCTAGTTCTGTTCTAGTTCTGTTTCTAGTTCTGTTCTAGTTCTGTTCTAGTTCTGTTCTAGTTCTAGTTCTGTTCTAGTTCTGTTCTAGTTCTGTTCTAGTTCTGTTCTAGTTCTGTTCTAGTTCTGTTCTAGTTCTGTTCTAGTTCTGTTCTAGTTCTGTTCTAGTTCTGTTCTAGTTCTGTTCTAGTTCTGTTCTAGTTCTGTTCTAGTTCTGTTCTAGTTCTGTTCTAGTTCTAGTTCTGTCTAGTTCTGTTCTAGTTCTGTTCTAGTTCTGTTCTAGTTCTGTTCTAGTTCTGTTCTAGTTCTGTTCTAGTTCTGTTCTAGTTCTGTTCTAGTTCTGTTCTAGTTCTGTTCTAGTTCTGTTCTAGTCTGTTCTAGTTCTGTTCTAATTCTGTTTTAGTTCTGTTCTAGTTCTGTTCTAGTTCTGTTCTAGTTCTGTTCTAGTTCTGTTCTAGTTCTGTTCTAGTTCTGTTCTAGTTCTGTTCTAGTTCTGTTCTAGTTCTGCTCTAGTTCTGTTCTAGTTCTGTTCTAGTTCTGTTCTAGTTCTGTTCTAGTTCTGTTCTAGTTCAGTTCTAGTTCAGTTCTAGTTCAGTTCTAGTTCAGTTCTAGTTCTGTTCTAGTTCTGTTCTAGTTCTGTTCTAGTTCTGCTCTAGTTCTGCTCTAGTTCTGTTCTAGTTCTGTTCTAGTTCTGTTCTAGTTCTGTTCTAGTTCTGTTATTTCTAGTTCAGTTCTAGTTCAGTTCTAGTTCAGTTCTAGTTCTGTTCTAGTTCTGTTCTAGTTCTGTTCTAGTTCTGCTCTAGTTCTGCTCTAGTTCTGTTCTGGTTCTGTTCTAGTTCTGTTCTAGTTCTGTTCTAGTTCTGTTCTAGTTCTGTTCTAGTTCTGCTCTAGTTCTGCTCTAGTTCTGTTCTAGTTCTGTTCTAGTTCTGTTCTAGTTCTGTTCTAGTTCTGTTCTAGTTCAGTTCTAGTTCAGTTCTAGTTCTGTTCTAGTTCTGTTCTAGTTCTGTTCTAGTTCTGTTCTAGTTCTGTTCTAGTTCTGTTCTAGTTCTGTTCTAGTTCTGTTCTAGTTCTGTTCTAGTTCTATTCTAGTTCTGTTCTGGTTGGTTCAATTCTATTTCCAAACTTTTAAAATTACGAATTATGTTTGTTAATTTTTTAGGTTAAAATGGTCATATTTTCATTAAAGAGCATATTTATTTTTGACATATAAAGAGTGTTGAAAAAGTTAACGAAATAAATATAAATATATAACCGGTTTGGTAGAGAGTACCAAAAATAATCTCTGAGTAATTTATTGTTTCCGCAACAACAAAACCGGCTTTTTAAAGGCAGAAAACAAGTCCAACCCACATTTGTTTTAACAAAATGTCTTAATTAAAATAATAGAGAAGAGAGTATAGGAACAGGGACTATTTAATGAAAGAGAATTAACAAGAGAACTCAGCTGTATTAACAGCTGATTTTAAGGGTTGTGTTGAGGGCTCTCGATGAGTGTCAGTTTAGCACTCTCGCTCTCTCTCTCTATTTCTGATGTAACTGTCAGTTCTAACTTTGCAAGTCATTGTTTCCTATATATTACATTTTAAAAACCCTGACCATCTGTTTGTATTTCAGTTTGTGTAACAAATATTGATTTTTCTTAAAAAACAGCTGATTTTTTAGAGATATAGAAATAAAGAGCGAGAGAGTTGTTGAAAACACATGCAAACACCTGCTAGTACTTATTTTTGCAATGAAAAGGGAAGGTATGGTAAATGTCTAGTAAATGGAAGCAGGCGAAAAAAAAGCTTAATTTTGCACTATATGAATTCATGTAATTCCTTTACATGAAGTAATATTAAGAATATTACAACATTTTACAGCTGTAGAAACGAAGTAAAGGAAAAAGGACTACAAAAAAGAGGAGTTGGGGTTAAAAGCCGCTTTAGGTTAGGAGTGTTTTCTTCTTTTGACAGATTTTTTTTCAGCCACCCAAAAGGAGTATACTGAAACTAAATATATGTAAAAGAGTGAAAAAAGACTACAAGGGATTTTGTGAAAATTTATTTTATACTATATATGAAAAAGGAAAATTATTTGGCCTATATAGAGATTTTTTTCAATTTTAAAAATTATTTAAAAAATTTTGAATATATTTACCTTTTTAAGCTGTTTTTATTGTTTAAATTCACTTAATTTTTATTGAATTTTTTTGGTTTTTCAAGTTGCAATATTGATTATTTTTATTTGGTTTTATACTTAATAAGTTTTACAATGGATGGAGAAGAAAAAAGCATTTGTTTTACTTATAATTTTTTTTATTAAATTTTTATAATTATTAAGCTATACGTATATTTAGCGTTTGTTTTTAGGCAATTATTTTTTACTAATTAATATTATTTATATGAGGTCTTAAGCTCTAAACACAAAAAATGGACTTTTCTTTTTATATATAATTTAAATTGAATATTTAAAGTTTTTTTATATAATTTTAGCAAGTTTTTTCACAATTTTATTTTTGTTTTAAATTTTTTTTTTGAGTTCTTTTTTAACTTTGCAGAAAATTTTCTTAAATTGTAGTTTTCTTTTTTAGGGTTTTTTGTTCTTTACTTGAAACCGAAATAAACTTTAGACGGATATTGATTTTTTCATGGAATTCTTCAAAAAGGTTTGATCATAACAGGCTTATGTTGGCTTCAATTTAAATTTAAAGTCCTTTGGGAAAATATTTCCTTTAAACACTTTTTTCTCAAAAATTTTTAAAACTTTTCATTATAATTTTTGGTTCGTTTTTTAAACAAATTTTTTCTTCTTTTTTTGCTTAAACTCAATGGCTGGACAACATGCGTTTTTTTGCTTTTTTAACCGGCTTTAAATGGTTGGTTTTATCTTTTTGGGTTCTGCCTTTGTAAGCTCACAGTTCGCTTAATACTAAAATTTTGAAAATAGCTTTTGGCATTTACTACCAGGTCGAAGCTTTTATTAAAAAATCGTTCTTCTTTTTCTTAACCTTACTTGAGTTTTTCTACTGCAGTGCTCTTATCAAACATGTGACTGGTTTTGTCTCATTTTTCAATGCTGTATGCGCAAAATCGTTTAAATTTAAGAGTTCCATTTTGGTAAAAATTTTCAATTTATTTCGGAAATCATTTGTTTTGACAGCTGTTACTTGTGGCCAGCTGTTTTTCCTAAGGAAATGAGTTAAAATTTTCTAGGAATCAAAAACCATACAAAACCATGTTTTTTACTTAAAATTACAAAAAGTCAAATTTAAAAAAGATCCAACTGGAATATAATTAATATTATATACTCTCCTTAACTTCTGAACATTATATTCTAGTTTAGTTTTATTTCAGTTCTGTTCTAGTTCTAGTTCTGTTCTAGTTCTGTTCTAGTTCTGTTCTAGTTCTGTTCTAGTTCTGTTCTAGTTCTGTTCTAGTTCTGTTCTAGTTCTGTTCTAGTTCTGTTCTAGTTCTGTTCTAGTTCTGTTCTAGTTCTGTTCTAGTTCTGTTCTAGTTCTGTTCTAGTTCTGTTCAGTTTGTTCTAGTTCTGTTCTAGTTCTGTTCTAGTTCTGTTCTAGTTCTGTTCTAGTTCTGTTCTAGTTCTGTTCTAGTTCTGTTCTAGTTCTGTTCTAGTTCTGTTCTAGTTCTGTTCTAGTTCTGTTCAGTTTTGTTCTAGTTCTGTTCTAGTTCTGTTCAGTTCTGTTCTAGTTCTGTTCCAGTTCTGTTCTAGTTCTGTTCTAGTTCTGTTCTAGTTCTGTTCTAGTTCTGTTCTAGTTCTGTTCTAGTTCTGTTCTAGTTCTGTTCTAGTTCTGTTCTAGTTCTGTTCTAGTTCTGTTCTAGTTCTGTTCTAGTTCTGTTCTAGTTCGTTCTAGTTCTGTTCTAGTTCTGTTCTGTTCTAGTTCGTTCAGTTCTGTTCTAGTTCTGTGTTCTAGTTTCTGTTCTAGTTCTGTTCTAGTTCTGTTCTAGTTCTGTTCTAGTTCTGTTCTAGTTCTGTTCTAGTTCTGTTTCTAGTTCTGTTCTAGTTCTGTTCTAGTTCTGTTCTAGTTCTGTTCTAGTTCTGTTCTAGTTCTGTTCTAGTTCTGTTCTAGTTCTGTTCTAGTTCTGTTCTAGTTCTGTTCTAGTTCTGTTCTAGTTCTGTTCTAGTTCTGTTCTAGTTCTGTTCTAGTTCTGTTCTAGTTCTGTTCTAGTTCTGTTCTAGTTCTGTTCTAGTTCTGTTCTAGTTCTGTTCTAGTTCTGTTCTAGTTCTGTTCTAGTTCTGTTCTAGTTCTGTTCTAGTTCTGTTCTAGTTCTGTTCTAGTTCTGTTCTAGTTCTGAGTTCTGTTCTAGTTCTGTTCTAGTTCTGTTCTAGTTCTGTCTAGTTCTGTTCTAGTTCTGTTCTAGTTCTGTTCTAGTTCTGTTCTAGTTCTGTTCTAGTTCTGTTCTAGTTCTGTTCTAGTTCTGTTCTAGTTCTGTTCTAGTTCTGTTCTAGTTCTGTTCTAGTTCTGTTCTAGTTCTGTTCTAGTTCTGTTCTAGTTCTGTTCTAGTTCTGTTCTAGTTCTGTTCTAGTTCTGTTCTGTTCTAGTTCTGTTCTAGTTCTGTTCTAGTTCTGTTCTAGTTCTAGTTCTGTTCTAGTTCTGTTCTGTTCTAGTTCTGTTCTAGTTCTGTTCTAGTTTGTTTCTAGTTCTGTTCTAGTTCTGTTCTAGTTCTGTTCTAGTTCTGTTCTAGTTCTGTTCTAGTTCTGTTCTAGTTCTGTTCTAGTTCTGTTCTAGTTCTGTTCTAGTTCTGTTCTAGTTCTGTTCTAGTTCTGTTCTAGTTCTGTTCTAGTTCTGTTCTAGTTCTGTTCTAGTTCTGTTCTAGTTCTGTTCTAGTTCTGTTCTAGTTCTGTTCTAGTTCTGTTCTAGTTCTGTTCTAGTTCTGTTCTAGTTCTGTTCTAGTTCTGTTCTAGTTCTGTTCTAGTTCTGTTCTAGTTCTGTTCTAGTTCTGTTCTAGTTCTGTTCTAGTTCTGTTCTAGTTCTGTTCTAGTTCTGTTCTAGTTCTGTTCTAGTTCTGTAGTTCTGTTCTAGTTCTGTTCTAGTTCTGTTCTAGTTCTGTTCTAGTTATGTTCTAGTTATGTTCTAGTTATGTTCTAGTTCTGTTCTAGTTCTGTTCTAGTTCTGTTCTAGTTCTGTTCTAGTTCTGTTCTAGTTGTTCTAGTTCTGTTCTAGTTCTGTCTATTCTGTCTAGTTCTGTTCTAGTTCTGTTCTAGTTCTGTTCTAGTTCTGTTCTAGTTCTGTTCTAGTTCTGTTCTAGTTCTGTTCTAGTTCTGTTCTAGTTCTGTTCTAGATCTTGTTCCAGATCTGTTCTAGTTCTGTTCTAGTTCATTTCTAGTGCATTTGACCTAATACCAATTTAGTTATTTTCAAAACTCTTCATCCAAAATAAATTTGCAAAAAATTATTCAGTAAACTAAAAGTTCAAATTTAAAATCCCTTAATCACATTTAGAATTTATATCATTTCTTCTACACAAATACCATTAATTTTCATTTGCCCTTAAATTGATTTTTATTATTCCTTACAATATGCCATGACTTTTTGCACAAATCTACTCAAATAATCATTTTCAATTTGCCCTCGTTTTTGCTATTTTCAAAATTCTCATCTGCTTTTTTTTGCTAAAATTTATAACAACACCTTATTGATCGCTCTTTATTACACGTGTTTTTTTTTTTTCATACTTAGTATATTCTCTAGTTTTTTCAATCAAATATTATGGCATACTTATAAATACAATGTATACTAATGCACTTGTAGTGCCTACTTTAAGGAGCTAAATAGCAAATTTTGTTTAATAATACCTGGCAAAGAAATATAAATCAAATTGAAAAGGTACAACAGAAAAAAAACAAGAAATGAAATAAACACGCTAGTATCTCCAACTCGTAAGTACACAACAAATTATTGCAAAATGTTAAACGTTTGTTTATTTAACTATATGACATTTTAGCTTAATAAGCCTAAAAGTTAGGCTACTGAAACAAAAATTGTTTAATATTATAATAAAAAGCTTTTTGTGCAAAATCCCTGTGCAAAAAATGTATGGTAATTAGTGTTTAGTATAATAGGCTAAAAATATGTATTTTGCGGATAGTTGCTTGGTTAGCGGTTGGTGTTTGTTAAGCTCTAGGGGGAAGTTTGTCTTTGGTTTTGTGTTGTGTGATTTTAGAGCGTTAATCGTTAATACTTATGTTTTGTGCTAGTGGAGTTAAAAAAGGACAATCTATTATTTCGCAATTTTTAAGAAAATATATTGCAAATTTAAAATAGTTTTGAATTAGAACCCTGTTAGAAGAGAACTAGAAATATGTTATAACAGAACTAAAACAGAACTAGAACAGAACTAGAACAGAACTAGAACAGAACTAGAACAGAACTAGAACAGAACTAGAACAGAACTAGAACAGAACTAGAACAGAACTAGAACTAGAACAGAACTAGAACAGAACTAGAACAGAACTAGAACAGAACTAGAACAGAACTATAACGAACTAGAACATAACTAACAGAACTAGAACAGAACTAGAACAGAACTAGAACAAACTAGAACAGAACTAGAACAGAACTAGAACAGAACTAGAACAGAACTAGAACAGAACTAGAACAGAATAGAACAGAACCAGAACATAACTAAACAGAACTAGAACTAACTAGAACAGAACTAGAACAAAACTATAACAGACTAACAACTAGAACAAACTAGAACAGAACTAGAACATAACTAGAACAGAACTAGAACAGAACTAGAACAGAACTAGAACAGAACTATAACAGAACTAGAACAGAACTAGAACAGAACTAGAACAGACTACACTAGCACAGAACTATAACAGAACTAACTAAAACAGAACTAGAACAGAACTAGAACAGAACTAGAACAGAACTAGAACAGAACTAGAAACGAACTAGAACAGAACTAGAACAGAACTAGAACAGAACTAGAACAGAACTAGAACAGAACTAGAACAGAACTAGAACAGAACTAGAACAGAACTAGAACAGAACTAGAACAGAACTAGAACAGAACTAGAACAGAACTAAACAGAACTAGAACATACTAGAACAGAACTAGAACAGAACTAGAACAACTAGAATAGAACTAGAACAGAACTAGAACAGAACTAGAACAGACTAGAACAGAACTAGAACAGAACTAGAACAGAACTAGAACAGAACTAGAACACTAGAACAGAACTAAACAGAACTAGAACAGAACTGGAACAGACTGGAACAGAACTAGAACGAACTAGAACAGAACTAGAACAGAACTAGAACAGAACTGGAACAGAACTGGAACAGAAACTCGAACAGAACTAGAACAGACTAGAACAGAACTAGAACAGAACTAGAACAGAACTAGAACTGAACTAGAACTGAACTAGGACTGAATTTAAAACTGTTCGAAGAAGGGAATAAAACTAAACAATAAATGATCTTAATCTGACATGAACTTATTTTAAAAACTGCACAAAAACTAAAATTGAAATGAAATGATTAATTTTGTGTTTCAGATTTTTCTGTCCCACCTTTTAACAAGCAGTTAATATACATTTATAAACGACTCTTTTTCAGTTGTAACTTGTAATTAAAGCCATTTGTGTAATGTTAGTTTTTGTGTGTACAAAACCTTTTTTTTTTTGTTTTCAAATTTATCATGTTTATTTTGTTGTAGTAACAATGGTTGTTGTTCCAATTTTTATTTAACTATTTCAAGAGTTTTACATGTATCGTTTTTTCTCTCTGTTTGCCCCTGTAATTTTATTAAATATTTTAGTTTGAGTTATAACAGCCCATAAACAATTTGACACTCACATACATAAAGGGAAGCGTTTTGAAGTGTTTTGTATTTGTAGAGAAAAATTAAAACAATTTGCATATTTGTGGCTGTAGTAGTGTGTCTGTTA